TGCAGCCCTACCGCTGCGGCCCTTCGAGGAAGCGTCGGTTGTGTTAGAAGCGCTGCCACAGAGGTGCGATCGCTCAGGATGTCACAGCCCAGAAGAGTGGTTCGCTCCTCTGTGGTAACTCAGATGAGGCTCGACGTTGCCCAGTTCCCTCCAGCAGACCAAAGTGTCTTGATAGCGAGGAGGATCTGCTGTCAGTCCGGGGAAGGCGCTCTGTTTTTCAACATTTTTCTCAGAGATCCAGGCTTTTTGCAGCACCATCCACCCTGCTATGTAGTGCATCTCACCTTCTTGTTAAGACCATCCCACACAAAGCAGCTGTGCTGCTACTAAGCTATTCTGGAGCAGTTGGGTGTGCTCCTCCCTGGCTAAACCTCGACTTTTGCTCAGTGGAATAAATAATCTTTGGTGGACATTTTGTAAGAGGTACGTGACTTGTATACATGATGATGAGTAAGAAACCAGTTCAGTTTTGTCCTCTATGTCAAATGTACACAGGACACTGAGCAACTTCCAATGCTTCTGTTGCTTAATGTGGTTTTATAGTGTAGCAGTAACAGTGTCCTGACCGTGACCGTCCTAGGAAGAAATTAATCAAATTAGTAGAAAATATCCTTACTGTCGATAGATAACAGTCCCTGCTCTGCTGCAGTTGTCATAGCCTTTCCTTATTTTTAGGCTTTGTCTTGCTAATTTGATTTTACCAAAAAATACTGAATTGTATTCCCCTCCCAAATAGTCTTTTATTCCTCTTCACTATAAAAATGTTTATATCGGCACAGCTGAGGAAGCAGCCAATGGATCAGACTGAGCGGTAGAAACAAAGGCCAGAGAAAGAAATTTTCTTTTTGAGTCCGTTCTAAATTGAGATAGATTTAAGTTACTCTTACCCTTCCACGTGTCCTTACTCACTGGACAGTGCAACAGTGGGATAAGAGGCTGGAAAGGCAGAGGGACAAGGACAGTTTAAATCCATACAGGAATCAGGAGATAATGTCTGAAAATGTGGAGTCAGGCTGTTCAGAAAGTATTTTTTAGACTTAAATCCGAATTCCACTGTATAGTGAACAAATTTGAATGGTTTCCAACTACTTTTGAAGAGTAATACATAATTTTTTGGGAAAGCAAATGTTTTATTGCATACAGTTTTATTCCATACGGTTCAACAAATGAACTCCAGGCAAAAAAACAAACAAAACCCGAAACCTAAAAGCTTTTTTGAAAGAAGTTACCCGAAAGAAAAGGATTTTAAAACGTATTACATTTACCAACATTATGTAAAAAATATGTAAAAGTACAGTAGTAGTAATGATTTTATAATCCTAACAGTAATAATATTGAAATTCTTGTAAATTGTAATAGATTAAGGAACACGAATACGCTTTCATACTGCTAGGCTGAATCATACCTTAAGCTTCATGTATGAAACTGCAAGGAAGTGATGGTCTCAGTGCACGTGCAGGTGGGAAACTTAGCATGAACATAAGCTCAGAGGGGCACTGCTTCAGGGGTGTTACTAAGCCTTTACTAAGCGTTCAGAGAAAAGATCTGTAAAACTTTATTAGTATTCCTATATT